TAAGAAAACGATTATCCGAGTGCTGCTGAAACATAGCGCCAATCCAAATTCGACCGGCAAGAACAAATTGACTCCTCTGCATGTCATTTTTAGTCAAAACAATGATAGATACGCCATGATCGAGATGCTATTTGAGCTCTGCGTGGAAAATCGTTAGCCTGTACAGACTGCTCTGCACATCATTTGCGCAGAATACAAGAATGTGGGCTCGTTGTTACGGGTATTATTCTACATCTGCGAAGAAAAACATCAGCGGTTTCGGCTCAATGTCCGAGACAGGTCGGGCAACGCACCGTTGCACTTGGCTATTTCGCGCGAAAACGCGACAGTGGTCGAATCGCTGCTGAGGCGAGGCGCAAAAATTCGAATTTGGCCAATCCGGAAGGACTGACATTTCTGCATCTCATTGCCAAAAGAAAAGGCCACGCCTACAGGATGGAAAAATTTTTGACCGTAAACGAATTTTTAAGCATAAACGAAGAAAGGCAGCAGCGGTGGGGATCGACATTCGAGACGGCAAGCAGGGCCGAACAGCGCTGGAATGGGCCGTGGCCAGTGGCTGACCGCTGGCCGTCGAGAATCGAGACAAGAGGCTACGAAATGGACCTGAGCGACGCCCTGAAGGTCATGGGATTTTTCGACAAGTACGGATTGTACGAAAGTACGGACTTTTCCGCGAGTACGGATGTCGATGATTCGGTCGATTCAATATTTGAAAGAATGTCGAAAAAATTCACGTACATGGATTACTTCAACTTCGCGATCTCGTACGGATTGCTTAATATCCCTTACAAGCCTATGGAGGCTTGTTACCTGCGCCTGAGCGAGAAAGTATCAAAAAAAAATTTCCGAAGATGGGCCCTGGATCTTTTCTGGAAACTAATTCACTACCGAATTCCGATTCTCTGCTGTGACATAATCTTCGATGAGCTGACTAACAAAGATTTGTATAATATTATCTTGGCGGTTGTGGGTCAAAGCTCGCGACGATGACAACGGTCATATTTGCATTAATTTTTTCGTGTATGGTGTTGCTTCTTTGAAATCTACAGTGCGAGGATACACCAACATTTTCTAAACATTACATAAAAGGGCTGATTGATTCCTAAAATACAAGATTCGAAAAGATATTCACTATCGAAGATGCTGGGAAAACTGCATCATTGAGCCTTCCATCAATTCATGGATTGGGTTCATTGCTTGTCGATAGAGGCGCAAAAAATATCGAAAGTCTCATTCAAAAAACCAACAAATTATCAGATGAAGAGGTAGCAACAACATCGTCAAACAGCAGTTTTCAAGAAGTCGAGCCAAAAAATCTTGACAAAATAATTTCCCTCAAGACAGGCTGCAACGAGCTTTTGCGATTTTTAGCTGAGCCAAAGTCAATCGATTTATTAGAGTTGAATAGATTTCTGTAATCAAAAAATATTTATAATATACTTTTTTATAATTTACCATTTTTCCCTCATCTGCGCCTGCATTGAATCATTCATAATCACTTGTATTTGTACTATGGCTATGTAAAAATTTTAAATGCCAGTAAAACTACTACTACTACTACTACTATTCATAATCACAAGTATGGTAGAACCAAAAGAGCAGTTAGGCAAAATTATTTCTATTGTCAAAATTAATATTGATAATACTGAGTCTGCAATATTTGATGTAATATTATATTGAGAATTATATTTTAACGAACATAAAATCACATATTTTATCGAAAAGATAAGCTCAGAAAAAGTTGAACTTCAGTTGTCCCATATAATAAGAATGCCACCTGTATCTTGTGTAAAGTTGAATGAAAATGTATTTATTGTACCACAATATGTCCTATAATATGTATAATTAATCAATAAAACATTCATTAAGATGTATAAACAATCAACGAAATAAATCTAATAAATACAGCTACGCGATTTACTTCTTTCGTACAGTAAACCCCGTTCATATATAATCGTTCATATACATGGTGCTCGAATTTCTAACTGCGTTCGCCGCTCACCATTCTCGCATAAGAGTGGTCACTACTCTGCGAATGAAATATAACAGCGACTCATTGAGCTGGAGGTACCCTTACTAGTTGAAGCGGTAATCAGCGATCATCGCCATCGAAGTAGTCCCTTCTCTCGACATTCGTATTCTCAGTGCAGCTAGAGAGCCTAATTCCTTTCAGTGTGTAGAGAGTTCATTTTGATACGCAACTATATGATAAATTAGGCAATATATAAGCGGTTATTAGACAATCAATTTGCAAAACGTATGATATGTAAAGTCAACTTGAAAAAACATTACATTTAAATTATATTCTATGATATAATCTTTGCTTTAAAATATATTTCAGAATAAGTTATGAATAACGTTCATCTCATTTACTTTATCAACTTTATTGTACGATCAGTAGATTACATAATCCTTGAAATGTTATATTGCTGCTATTTTTATCGATAAATTACAGGATATTTTGCTGCTCAGTGCACTCAGTGAAAACATCGTTTATTGTCTCGTAATAAATTAACGCAGATATTATTTTTATTTTTCTAAGAAATATTTAATTAACATATTTAACCAATTCATCTGCGTGAATTGTATTTGCACTTTGCGCCACCTGGCGGCGACACGTCAACTACTACACGTACATCAAAACATATAACAACAGCTGAATTTTTAAAAGATTGTGGGACTAGAAACCCCTTCCTTTCAACTTCTTCAGTATATGAAAAAAAAACGTCAAAAAGCAAGAGGTGAGGACAATTTTCGGTCATATAATGAGTAGCTATCGGTATTTATGAGCTTCGCAAGACTACGCCGGGATATTTTAAAAGCATAACTTATCAACGAATAAATTCGGGTCTTCATTGTAAACAATACCTCCTGATGAAAAAGATATATTACCGAAAGTAAAATTTCATTCGTTCAATTCCCGTAGACCTAAATAGAAGAATCAATCGCTTAATTCGGACTTCAAAATGAACAGAAGTAAGAACAAATCCAGGCCAGCCATCAGACAAGAAAATTTACGTGAACAAGACATTGTTTTTTCAGACGAGAATCGAAGTTATTACACATGTGATTTTTGCGAGAAGAAATTTCGACATAAACCGCAATTGCTACGCCATCATAAGACAGTACATGATGGTCGAAAAGATTACGCATGCGACAAGTGCGAAAAAAAATATGGACAAATAAGTCATTTACTCTTTCACCAAAGGACAGTCCATGAAGGTCGAAAAGATTACGCATGCGACAAGTGCGAGATGAAATTCGGACTTAAACATCATTTGCTTGTGCATCAAAGTACGGTCCACGAAGGTAGGAGAGATTTTGCATGTTACAAATGCGAGAAGAAGTTTGGGCAGAAATCAAGTTTGCTCTTCCACATAAGAACAATACACCAGGGTCAAAAAGACTACGCATGTGACAAGTGCGAGATGAAATTTGGACAAAAATCGCATTTGCTCGTTCACCAAAGGACAGTTCATGAAGGTCACAAAGACTACGCATGCAATCAGTGCGAGAAGAAGTTTGGCCAGAAATCAAGTTTGCTCTTTCACATAAAAACAATACACCAGGGTCAAAAAGACTACGCATGCGACAATTGCGAGAAGAAATTTGGACGAATAAGTCATTTACTCGTCCATCTAAAGACGGTACATGAAGGTCGCAAAGATTTCGCATGGGACAGGTGTGAGAAGAAATTTGGACACAAATCACATTTGCTTGTGCATCAAAGTACGGTCCACGAAGGTCACAAAGATTACGCATGCGTCGGTTGCGATAAAATATTTGTTACTCAAAGGGAATTGGTAAAACACCAAAAATCAGTCCATAAAGATCGAAAAGGCTATGTATGTGACAAATGCGAGAAGAAATTTGGACGAAAATCAGATTTGTTGAAGCACCAAACAATAGTCCACGAAGGTAAAGAAGATTACGCGGGCGACAAGTTTGATGATAAATTTGGGAAAGCGTCGAGTTCGTTTCAGCACCAAAGGGCAGAACATGAAGGTCAAATTAATTTCTCACGCAACAAGTGCGGAAAAAAATTGGGACGAAAATCGCATTTGCTTACTCACCAAAGGATCGTACACGAAGGTCGAAAAAATTACTCATTCGACAAAGACCGGAAGGAATCGGCTCACAAACCGCATCTGTTTCTGTACCAACTAATAGCCCACGAAGATGTCATAGATTTCGCTTGCGACAAATGCGATCAGAAATTTGGACTTCGGTTTAATTTGGTCAGACACCGAAAAAAAGTACACAATGATTGTGAGAATATGAACGAAATCATTGAATTTCGTACTCAGAATCACTTTTTCGAGATAATTTAAGAATATACTTAGTTTAGAAATATTTTCCTTCGTTGTATTATTCGATACATTTTTTCAATATCATCAAGCCGATCCATTACTTTTGTACATATTTTATGTATTTAACAATTTTACGTTTACATTTATTCGTCAATAAACATTTTTAATCACAAATGTATTTTATTAACTATAATTTAATCTATTTGTACTAAAATTTTAATTGATCTCGCATCCCTAGCTTCCAATATAATCTAATTCCAATATAATCTTAAGCAATATTTCTTCCAAGCGTCCATTAAAAAACCCGCCACCAATACATGTGCAAATGGCTTCCTCGTGAAAAATATGGCATCGCCTACATTCAATACGATATGACGATTAGAAAATAAAAGTTCCGTAAAGTAGGGGCGTTGCCTATAGGCAAATATATATCTTTGTATATGTTATTTTCACCTTCCATTGTGTATTTAATAATGTCTAATGGCTATGAAGGTGGCACCCAAACTTCAACGTTCCTGCCAATGAAACGCGTCAATGAAACACAAACACGAATATTAACAAAAAANTGACTACCCACGGAGGTTCATTGATAAATATATAAACATCAGACTACAAGATATCCAAAGGAAGAGGTTGATTCGTGAAGACGGAGTTTTGTCTGCCAAGATCGATGTGAGACCCTTCACTATGTGTTTGCCGGCGGTAAATACCTTCTTTGATCGGTGCCTAAACACGCTAAAGAAATACAACATCAAGGTTATACCACTACAGGACCGATCGATGGCTCCAATCATAAAACTTGGCAAGGATTGTGTGGAACCAATGGATACCGCTGGTGTGGTGTACCAACTGCAATGCAACAGCTGTGATACTCGTTACGTGGGCGAGTCAAAAAGACCTTTAAAAACGCGAATAAAAGAACATGAGCGAGCCTGCAAAAGCAAAAATCATGATTCGGTCGTGGCGCTTCATACCTTACGCAACCCCGGTCATGATATGAGGTGGGACCAAGTTAGGATTTTAGACAGAGAAACAAAATATTGGCCCAGAATGATCTCGGAGATGATACATATTAATAACCAACGCAATGTTTTGAACAAGAAGGAAGATATTGACAAACTCAACAGAGTTTATTTCAACATTTTAAAATAATTTTAATTTGAGCGATCTCATGTGTATCGATGTTTTTGTTTTTCGTGTATTATACATAACTTTCTCTCAGTTGACATGTAGCCGTTCGCTACTAACAATCGCTCTGAGGAGGCTGATAAACTCAGCGAAACGTTAGCGACAATTTGAATAAACTTTGACGTTTTTTTGTTAATATTCGTGTTTGTGTTTCATTGACGCGTTTCATTGGCAGGAACGTTGAAGTTTGGGTGCCACCTTCATAGCCATTAGACATTATTAAAAAATATATATCTGCCACAGACTAAGTTATAATATGAATAACGTTTATCTCATTTACTTTATCAACTTTATTGTACGATCAGTAAATTACATAATCCTCGAAATGTTATATTGTTGCTATTTTTATCGATAAATTACAGGATGTTTTGCTGCTCAGAACACTCAGTGAAAATATTGCTTATTGTCTCGTAATAAATTAACGCAGATATTATTTTTATTTTTTTAAGTAATATTTTATAACATATTTAACTAATTCATTTGCGTGAATTATATTTGCGTTTTGCACCACCTATCGGCGACACGTCAACTACTACACGTACATCAAAACATAAAACAACAGCTGAATTTTTAAAAGATTGTGGGACTAGAAACCCCTTCCTTTCAACTTCTTCAGTATATGAAAAAGCACGTCAAGAAGCAAGAGATGAGGACAATTTTCAGTCATATAATGAGTAGCTATCGGTATTTATGAGCTTCGCAAGACTACACCGGGATATTTTAAAAGTATAAATTATCAACAAATAAATTCGGGTCTTAATTGTAAACAATACGAACATCAACAATCTTGACATCGTCCCTTCTCGAATGAAAAACAAATAAGTATGACTTTTCTTTCCTGATGAAACAAGATATATTACCAAAAGTAAAATTTCAGTCGTTCAATTTCCGTAGTACTAAATAGAAGAATCGATCGCTTAATTCAAACTTCAAAATGAACAGAAGTAAGAAGAAATCCGTGCCAGCCATCTCACAAGAAAGTTTACGTAAACAAGACATTGTTTTTTCAGACGAGAATCGAAGCTTTTACGCATGTGATTTTTGCGAGAAGAAATTTCGACACAAACGGCATTTGCGCATCCATCAAAAAACAGTCCATGAAGGTTGCAAAGATTTTGCATGTGACAGGTGTGAGAAGAAATTTGGAATTCAAAGCAATTTGATAGTACACCAAAGGACAGTCCACGAAAGTCGCAGAGATTACGTATGCAACAAGTGCGAGAAGAAATTTACACAAAAATTTAATTTGCTCAAACATCAAAAAACAGTTCACCAAAATCGCAAAGATTACGCATGCGACAAGTGTGAGAGAAAATTTGGAAGTAAAGGAGATTTGCTGCGGCACCAAAACGCAGTCCATGAAGGTCGAAAAGATTACGCATGCGACAATTGCGAGAAGAAATTTGGAATCAAATCCGATTTGATCAGACACCAAAAAATAGTTCATGAAGGTCGCAAAGATTACGGATGCGACAAGTGCGAAAAGAAATTTGGACAAAAACCACATTTGCTAATACACCAAAAAACAGTCCATGAAGGTCGCAAAGATTACGGATGCGACAAGTGCGAAATGGCATTTGGAAAAAAATCGACTTTGCTTACTCACCAAAGGACCGTACATGAAAGTCGGAAAGATTACGCATGCGACAAGTGCAATAAGAAATTTGGACAAAAATCGAATTTGCTTACTCACCAAAGGATCGTACACGAAGGTCGAAAAGATTACGCATGCGAAAAATGCGAGAAGAAATTTGGACTCAAAAGAGATTTGTTTCGGCACCAAATAGTAGTCCACAAAGGTCGCAAAGATTATGCGTGCGACAAACGTGAGAAAAAATACGGATGAAAATCAAATTTTTTGAAGCACCAAAAAACAGTCCATGAAGGTAAAGAAGATTACGCGTGCGACAAATGTGAGAAGAAATTCGGATATAAAGAGACTTTGCTTCTTCACCAACAGACATTACACGTCAGATGCAAAGATTACCCAAGCGACAAGAGCAACAATAAATTTGGAAAAGCGTCAAATTCGTTTCAGCACCAAAGGACAGTCTCCGAAGGTCGTAAAAATGTCTTATGCAACAAGCGCTGTAAAAAATTTGGACAAAAAACGGATTTGTTTAGGCACCAAGAGACAATACACGAAGGTGGTAAAGATTACACATTCGACAAGGACCAGAAAAAATCGGCTCACAAACCGCATCTGTTTTCGTACCAACTAATAGCTCACGAAGATGTCGTAGATTTCGCATGCGACAAATGCGATAAGAAATTTGGACTTCGGTTTAATTTGGTCAGACACCGAAAAAAAGTACACAATGATTGTGAAGATATGAACGCAATCATTGAATCTCGTACTCAGAATCACTTTATCGAGTTAATTTAACAATATATTTAGTCTAGAAATGTTTTCCTTCGATGTATCCTTCGATATAATTTTTCAATGTGACCAAGCCGATACAATTCTACTTGTACATATTTTATGAATTTTACAATTATACGTAGATATTTATTCGTCGATAAACCCTTAATAAATTTTAATTTAATCCATATGTATTAAAATATTAATTGATCACGCATTTTTCTAGCTTACAATAATTAATTGTTATTGAAATAAAAATCCTATAATTGCAACAGTACGAAAAAGAGATAAATGGAATGAGACTCACAAGTTACGCTCACCAAGAGATGCTCACAGGCTAAGATGATATTCGGTCATTTATATGCATCATTTGAGCACTGCAAGTTGAGCATTAGGTTCAGGCTTATCTATCTTCGTTTCCAACATGTCGTCATTGCGATGTGTATTATGCATTGTGCCAAATTAATCGCGATTACGACATGATGATCGTGACTCGATTCGCAAGAATACTGACATTTTAAGCTTTTTAACTTACAGATCAATTTGGCTCTCTTGTTTTTATATTTGCCTCGTTTGAACGAGTTGTTCGGGAAAATAACTTTATACGTTGCTAGCGCCCATATTTAAATTGTGAAAACACTCGTGAATGAACACAAATAATTATGCATACGTTCACGAACATATTACTTGTAGATAAGATTCAGAATGTTTTAAATAAACCCATGGACGACGCATTTTCTTGAAAATTTGTTATGTTACAGTACATGGAAAAATTGTCCTGTAGGCGTAATATTAGACTCTGATCTATATAAAAATTTTATAACCAAGAAGAGCTGGAAACACTGACCAATGCAACTCATAAGTTGTTAACAATAGCCATGAATTTATCTCTTCTTTTTTCTTAAGAAATAGCCTGATCGATCCCATGGGTTAATTATTTATCTTATAATATTAAGTAGATGCGAGAAAAGAGTGCAAAATTCTACTAGGGTCGTACATTAAGGTCGAAAAGACTACGCAAGCGACAAGTGTGAGCAGAAATGTGATTTTTCCGGTTATTGTAAATAATGATTCAATACAATCAAAGGCGATTGCAAAGGACGGTCAAGTGTACCTAGTATTAAAATCCGTATCAAAACTACATTGAAACACTGTTGGAAACCTCCATGATAAACGAAGAAGACTAGCTTATGACAGAAGAAAAGAAGCTAAAAAAATATTGCTTCATGAAAAACCTATAGCATATAAACTGCTGTAGTTGAACGCTCGGGTTGACTCTCGAGGCTGCTCGCTGAGTCGTCCGCCCGTACTTGCGTTGCTACGGATCGCCGAGGTCTCGTTGTACTTTCGTCCGCTACGGAAAACTGCCTGCTCGAGCTACTAGATATAGCGAGCCGTCGGCTAGTTTGCGAGTTACTATACGCCCGAGGTCCTCGATTGGGAGGTGAGGGTTAATTGGAGGGAGATGAAAGAAACTAGTCGAGATTCACTTTTTAAATAACTCACTTTTATATATTCACCTATCTTTTGCCTCTCTCGAGGCCTCCAAAATCACAAGTTTTCTTAGTTATATTTAATTAACATACTTAACCAATTCTTCTGCATGAATTATATATGCGCTTTGCGCCACCTAACGGTGACATTTCGAACACAAAAAAGCAGCTGAATTATTAAACGATAGTGGGACTGGAAACCCCTCTCTTTCAATTTCTTTAGGATATGAAACAGTACGTCAAGAAGCAAGAGATGATGATATTAATCTTTAAGACTTTCCTGGTGATAAGATTCAATCTACGCTATCAATAATGAACGCTTATCAATGTGTAAGAAATTTTCTCACTGAGACCTTTGAGGTTTGGCTCTGGACAGAAAATCAAATACAAGTTCTCAAATAAGTAAAGGATCTTAATTTTACTATTTCAATTGATGCTACCGGTGGGTTGGTTAATAATGTACAAATTATTGACAAACACAAGAGTGCAGTCATATTTTTGTACAATGCTACTGTTAAAATAAATCACAAAATTAATTCAATTGTACAAAAAGTGTCAAGACAGCATGACACTTTGAGTATTTATCTCTGGTTAAATAGTTGAATTCAATTGGCACCGATTCTCTCAGAAGTTGTTGTTGACTGATCGAAAGCGCTAATAAATGCCATTTGTCTTGCTTTCCGCGCGTCAACTGATCACGTGAAATTAAAATAATCGATGACTTAAAAATATAAACATTAAAGCAAACGCCACATTCAAGTTTTCCCACTAAAAAAATTAAATGAACGACCGACGTGAGATTCCGACCAATCATGAAGCGAGGCGCAGTTACTGTTCGACCAATTAAGTGACGAATAAAACGACTTCACATGATTTTTTAAGAAAGGACTATAAATACCTTTACCAAGAACGCCAGCATATATACAGACCTGTTTTGTATACTGTAAATGTACTGTAAAAGATCACATATATATATGTACGCAGAATTTGCACTCTCAACTATCAGAGTGTTTGAAAATTTTTGTCATAAACAATCTCTATCTTTGCAGATCAACTTTAAAGTTATTAAACTTAATAATTTGGCTAAAATTGTTGACAGTTTTACCCAT